GATGCTTCCTTCAAACCAAACGGCATCCCAATAAATTGGAATCTCTCTCCCCAGGGCGTCAAAAATGCAGTAACCCCTCGACTACCAGGCTCTACCATTAACTGCCCAAACCCATTTCCAGCATCCACATTGGTTCTCCACTTGCGCCCCTTAACTGTTGCCAGAAATTCATCTTCTGTTGGTATCGGATATGTACCCGAATTTAGCTGATAATTCGTACGCATATAATTTATGCACATCCTCCAATCCTTGGGTTCCTCATAACTGGGATTACTACCTGGCACTTTAGGCACAAGTTTCGGCACTGTAAGCCAATCCGTATCTTGCACCCTCTCTATCAACCCAGCTTCAAGCAATAGTTGCACCTTCTTCTTCATCACTTCTATAAGTCGCACATCTTTCTCCGCATATACTTGTCTCAAAGGCGCCCCTCCTTCTTTGATCTGAAGCTTAAGCATCCGATCCTTCACAAACTTTGGTTTCTTGTCATTGTACGCCACCCTCCTAATAGCCACCACCAACTCTGCCAATTCTTCCATAGACTTCCCCAGTTTTTCAGCCAACAGTTCCAAGCCACATTTGATAATCGTCCTCACCCCAGGATCCATCACTTTCATAACCTGAATCATAACCCCCATCATCTTGCATACTATCAAATGGTGTATAACGGCGCCGCCACATGCTGAATATAATCTAACACCGGCTCAGACGCCTCTTTGTTCAGCCAGGTTTTAAAGTCTGATGGCTTCTCTCGTACCACCTCAACCGAAAACAGTATATACTTAGTCACCCCTTGCCTAGTGAGTACTGCGCCATTTAATCCATATCCATTCAATTCACGTCTACCTAACAACATACCTGCATTGTGTGGAATCAAATCCGTAATCCACATATCCAACTTAACCCTCCTTTCTCCTACTAAAGTAGGCAAAACAGCCTCAACATCTCGCACCTTGTATTCCACATAAAGCGGAGCACCAAATCCCGTAACCCACTCTCCACACAAATCATACTGAGCAACCAGCCACAGACGCTCTGCCAAACCCTTAGAAATCATCAATATATCGGCGCCTTGATCAACAAACATATCGACATAACACTGTTCACTCTTTACATAACTATAGATCAACGGTTGGCCTGGTCCTTCATAACTAGCCGCCGCCGCATGTCACAATTCAGGTGTCCCATTTGCACTCATACAAACCTCCCCAGACGCTGCTGCCGATACATTACCCCCAGATCGTGTTGTAGGACAGAATCTCGCAGTATGACCTCTCTTGCTACACGTATGACACACCACGTCTTTCAACACAGGACACTCTTTCACATAGAGACCATCCTGCTTGCAAAACAAGCACGACCCTCTCAGACCTGTCATCCCTGCAACCCTGGACTTCTGTCTAGCTGCAGCTGCTTGCAACTGTCCTGCTCTCGCGGCTACCCTCGTCTGATGTCTCCGGTCCGCTTTTCTTGACGCGCTATGTCGTCTTCTCTCATTTCAGACAATTGCTCCAGCACCTGCCCCAACCCTCCTGCCTCAAGCATTCTCAGAACCACGTTCTTCTGCGATTTGCGATTTGCAAATAAGGTTTTCAACAGACTTATACACCACTCAGTCAATCCTTTTAAACCCTCCATCACTACATCCTTAGAGCTCACATCGTTTGCCAATTTAAGCAGCATATCCACACAGTCATCATCCCTCAGCATAGGAACCATCCAGCGTACCCCATACTGATTCGCTTTCTTAGCATTCCTACGAACCACCTTGCACAAAGCATCATACTCACGCCGTTTCTGCCTAGCCTCCATCTTCAACTTAGCTGCTGCCCTTGGCTTGTCTGATACATTAGCCTTCTTCTCTACTGTAGCAACCTTCACTGCAGGCACTCCTTTCTTCTTCTTAGCATCCTCACCCTCACTGTCGCTACTTTCGCTGTTATCACTGCTGTCACTGACCTTAGCGACTTCCTCCTCAGTCTCACTTTCGCTCTGTTCGTCCTCAGAAGGCACCTCAGTAAATGAATCCCGTTCTGGGAGCACTTTCTTTGCTTCAGCTTTCGCCGCAACATGCCTAGCACCATAGTAATAAATCTCACGAAGATGCTCAATAACCTTTTCAGGCTTGGATCCCCACCCTTCTGTTGCCTTCGCAAAATCCGCCTGGGTCCCACTCACTTCAAATGGGTCCTTAAACGCTGGATACAATGCTGCAGCGGCGATGTACAGATCCTTCGTCTCAATAACAGTCTTGCTAATATAGCCCTCTAGTTTCGACTTCGTCTCCGGTGTAACTTCCTTCAAAAGAAGCCATCGCTAGGCGGGACTCTCCTTTCATCGCCTCGAGCTCGTAAGCCTTGGTACCCCTGACGTAATCCCATCGATCCATAAGTGTCGTCATCGGCTCCCCTCTCACATATCTCCAGAGAGGTTGCCCAGTCCCAGCTGCATTATCCTTCTTGTAAACCATTTTCCACTAACGTTTATTTGTAATCTTCGATCGACTCAAAACACAATGTAACGGTGAACCTAGTTTTATTTCCTCAATAGTTGAATAAACGTCTACCTTAGCAGAATGAACTTCTCGAATGAACTAAACCACGTATTTAAACTATCTCCGAAGGATTTCCTTGAGAATCATGCCGTCAATCAAATCGTGTATCTACTCATTTTCGAGCCTACAAATCCATTCAACATATATCGTCATCTGCCAACCTCCAGCTCATATTACCCCGCACTTCGGTTCGCAAAGCACCAATCATACACCAACCTCCTCTTCTTTCGAGCCTGCACGGCCGTTCGCCAACAAACCGCACAATACAACTTAGAACTTTTCAAACTTATTAGTTTTCACATTTAAGTTTTACCACACTTAGAAGTTCTCGCACTCTTATTAACGCCCAGGAACATTACCGAACAGTTCGGTACTTACAACACCAACATTGTTTTAAATCGGAGGTAAACATGGTTGACATTACAATACATTTCCACCAAACAATAGATCCAAGGTGTCAGCCTGTCAGGCGACTGAATCTATATTGTTTTAGGGTTTTTTATAGAGTTTTAGGGTTTTAGGGTTTTAGGGTTTTAGAGGTTTCTAAGGGCCAGCGCCATTTTAATCAACAGTTCGGTATTTACATTAGCTCGAACAAAATTTTTAACGCTTTCAGGATAAACTATACTATAGCTGCATCCTTTAATTCAACAGAAACGTGATTTATTTGTTTTATCATGTCAGAAACGTGATTTTATTTTACATTTTTTTAATTAAAAACTCTCTTGGAATATATTTTGAATTCGAGCGCAATATTACGTTCGTAAATAGCTATATTGTCTTATTAGGTCTCTTCACTCTTGGCTATATCTCTGAATATTTCTGAAGAGTATCAGTATACCTTTCTGTACATAACTATTGACACCTTTCACAATCATTGTCCATCCACTGTGTTTTACACCAACATCATTGTGGAATTTGCAGTTGTATACATATCGGGTTGCACCTTCATGCATTTTATGCAGCTTCTGGAACTCCATTGCACTTCACTCGCTTGCACAATCGCATGTGTCTCCGGTAGGTGGATTAGAGGAATCTGAAAACCATATATACGCCTATACTTTGACCTTGGAGAATTGGTTGAAATTATTGGCTACGCAAATACTATCTGAGCACTGACTGAATTCACCATGTGCTAGAAGTTATTTGGCCATCGAGGCATCATGTTGCACTTACACAGAGGAGGTTTCAGACGGGCAGTCTCGCAGATATTGCAAAGTAGAAAGGTGAGTCAAATTCATTCCGCGTGCTCACTTGTAAACGCTTATAATCCACACATCAAGGTAGTTTTCATCAGTGTAAATCTCCGCCAAAATCCAGAACTTGTCCTGGAGACCAAATGGTCAAGTAGAGCGGTGCATGTGGCAGCCAGTAGTAAGCTGTTTGTCTGGCCACGTGCCTGCCAACCTTGTCCATGTTGTTCTTGTAACGTCTATCAGAGGTCTCACGTGTTATTCCGAGCGCGTAGCTGGCAGTGACACATTCTAACATCAGCAGTACATGTGTCGTGTCAGTTGTGGGTTTGGAAGAAATTATTTGACGCTGGGTAGACATGAAGAGATTAAGTCTAGCAGTGCATGCGTGCGTTACAGCTATATTTATATATATTTATATATATATATACATACATACACACACACACACATATATACACATAACACACACACACACACACACACACACACACACACACACACACACACACACACATATATATATATATATATATATGTCTGTTTAAATCGCACCTGCACAGTACATACTGTTTTGCGTGGAATATAACTATTTGTGCCACAATAAAAGATGTCCACATGCAGGGGGCAATAGAGCGTAGTTGGTATCATCTTCTGTATACGTGTTCGGACACCAGGTGGGCGCACAAAGCCAGCGTCATACTGTATCATTGTTTCTGTAGTGGTGCACAAGTCTGCTTTTAAGACTCGGCGTGAGTTTCGCCGTGGCTTTTGATGTTGGTTGCGCTCGTTTGTACATTGATATCGGTAGTATCGCACTGCCTCCGATAACCCATATCGGCTTGCGTTTGGATATGTTGGGACGTTTCATTCCAGATGGTATGACTATCTCACAGCCACAGTCGTGTCCTGTATCATCACCGACTGTACTCTGCGTTCATATGTAAATAGTCTACAGCACATAGCATAAACACATGAATTCACTCCAGTCGCTGAGACACCCAAGCCATTCGTTAAATGAGACTCGGCAGAGAATATATGTATACTTGTACTGTTTGCTTGTTACGAAGTTGGTTCATGTAGTAGTTTCTGCCAGTAATTTCTCCAGCTGTTGCTTTCTACACCTATGCTCGCGTACTTAGAATCTTAGAATGAGTCACACAATCTCATAACACGTCCACTCTCAGCATGGCGAATATGGCACGGGTGCACGCAGAACCAACTACACCTGCGTGCCACTTGAGGTGACAGCCATGAAGGACAAGGCCACCAGGACGAAGGCTGGCAGGTTAAAGCTTGAGTCGCGATTTCCCGTGAGTGAATTAGACGTGCCCATGTTGCCTAAGAATGTGCGTTGGCAATTGTTTGGCAACGAACCCAAGAAACCCAAAAACGCGCGCATGGTGGCCGCAGCAACACGCCATCTGCAAGGCCACGACTTGCTGAAGCAACGCATGCCTGAAGCTACAGGCGGTATGTGTGTCGTACTGTGTCACGTCCCTTTGCTCTTGGGGTGGGTGGTGGTGTGCAGGTGTTTGAGTAGCAGGTGTTTGGGTACAATGCAGGTATTGCTGTGCAGGTGTTTGGGTACTATGCAGGTATTTGCTATATTCGGTGCTTGGGTATATTCAGGTGGCACGCAAAGCTGCGCTAAAGATATCAAGTTCTTGTGTCTAGGAGTTACGAACACTCGCGCGAGTTTCTGTACACGAGTAGGGAATATCATGTGATGTGACATGTAGTAGCGCATGGTATGCTGAATGGGCGGCAAAATCTGGGCAAAGCTTTTGGTGAAGTGCGAGCAGAAAATTAGTTGGCCATGGGAAATGCACATTGGGCTGGACGCGAGTAGGTCGCCAAAGTTCTCGATGCCAATGTCTACATGAATGTAATGTGGTTGATGTAAGTGATGATACATCTATACATGAATGTCATGGGGTTGATGTAGGTGATGATATATCTCTATTACTGGACACATGTGGTATATTTGCTGCCTGTCAGGGGTACTAGATTGATCTAATACCACCTGCCTCCGGTTTCATTTGCCGTCCTTGATTGCTTGCGAGACTCCCTTGATTCATGGAGAGACTCCCTTGATTGCTTG